AGGATTTTGGGGGTCAGGTGGGACTGGTCTCGTATTGGGGATCCATGTCACATTTAGTAGAAGCAAGGCTACTTATAATAAAACTTGAAGTTGTATGGCGACCATAGCCCAGTGCTGTCGACTTCGGACTGCAATTCGAGGAACACTGGTCCAAACTCAGTCAACCGCTGGACTAACCCTCTCTTGTCTCTTAAAATTAAGCTGAATATTTAGCCGTTTCAAGATTCCAACCCTAGCTTATTTAACGGGGATACTTATTATTAATTAGTATATCATAAGTTGGTTGGCTATTATCTTGTACTAGAATAAGTTTCCATTGATATTCTGGGGTGAAACCGTCAAATCAAAACCGCTATTGACTTCTGCTTTCTTGTTTACACCAAATATTGACTAACTCATCAAACAATGCACTTGACATTTTCTCCAGTGTAAACCACTCCAAGTCTCCTTGGGTGGTCTTGACACCTGACACTGTTGACGTTTGTGACAGACGCGCGATGCGTTCGCGCACAGACTATCTGTGGTAGGAATGCGTTTGAGTGAATAGGTCATTTATTTGTAATAATGTAGCTTTGCTGGGTCAGGTGAGAGTGCCGTTTTACTGTCATCTCTGCAACTGTATTTCTCTGCTCATGATTGTGGAGACAGCATATCAGACTACCCATTTTTGTTGCAATATCGCTCTTATCACAACTGCTTAAGACCCCCCAGTGTTAACCTTGATGTGCCGTCTCATCTGTACTACATTATACAACATGAAAAAATTCACACTATTCTCAAATTAATGTATTAACTCTTAACTTGTATCAGAATAATCTACGATCCGCTACTTACCCCATTTATTAACTAGCCTTTCCCTTTTCATGTTTCAGTATATTCTAACAGCAAAACTGTCAATTTTCTTAATTATTGAAAGTCTAAAAATTACGATTTACCTAGGCAATTAGAACTACATGAAATAAATAATTTATTATTTATATTATGATTTTAGTTATTATTTACTAGCTATTATTTAGGAGCACTCCCACTACAACTGTTATTAATTAAAATAAACGTATATTAAATTTTATTCTACATAATTTGTAATACCATTGAAACGAAAAGTCATCATAAAATCTGCATTTTATGAAAAACTTGCATGACAAACGGCAATAATAAAGTATGAAACGCAGCGTTTTCCCCGACTTACGGCCTTTTACATACCAGCTTAATTTCATTACAAGATACATTCCGTTTTATTGTGCATTCTCAGCTATCGCCCTAGGTGGTCGCTGCGTCAGGGAAATACGATACAATGTTGACATAACACCAAACGTGACTTGACACGAGAAGCTGTAGACAACAATGTGACACTGGGCAAGCATTGGCCATATTTTTGGGGTTAATTTATTTAGTGGGTATCATTTACAGCACAAAAAGCAAGTCACATCTGCATAGTAAGTGCATCTACGCTCGTGTGAATATCTATTACCAAAAGACTTAGGTATTATTAAAGGCCGGTAGATCTATTCTCATAAATAAAACACTGGATACTTAACTTTCACAGTATATTATTGCCTTATTTTAGATACAATTCATCACTTAGCACAAACAAAAGCGCGCGGAGTCGTCTCCGCGTGTCCCTCTATTCTGACGTTTGATGCTAGCGTGACATTGACGTATTGTCAATGTCACTATGACAGCATCTCATTGGCCACAACGATACCGTTATTAATTTTAACGTTTTAGATTTTTCATAATTAACGGTATTCTCTTCCAAACTATTTCTGTACCTTTCACCTAAATTAGGTAGAGTGCAAAGCAGTTGACAGAGAGACAAACTATCCTTCGCATACAGTTCGGATTGACATGGTTCACAATGTTTAAATTACTTAAAATGGATGGAACTTACAAAAGTTTGACGAATAAACTTTTTGGCAAATCGACAATTTATCCCGATCTCGTCTTGAATTTACTATGGATAGTACATGGCTTTGTACCGCATTAATTGTGTAAGAATGGATAAAGTTATGGCATCACAGATTACCGGCATGAAGATATTTGACAGAATTTTAATGATAAAACAGTTTTATGAAGAGGGGCAAGAAATAATGACTTACAATTAGTAAATCATAAACTTTATTTAAATAAGAATTTTGATAAGATAAACGACAGATTTTTTTATATGTAGGTGAGTTGGCTAATTAATTAAAACAATACAAATGACATTGCATAATCTCATATGTTTTTTCAGCGCTAATTTCTTTTATCTTATTTGCCTTAAAAAGAGGTTATCGTTCTGACACCAAATAATTACGTTTTATACTATTTCGCAGTTTCTAGAAGCTTTATTCTAGAGACAATAAAATTGCGTCTCTATCTTTATCAATAGTTTTTCTTGGAAACGCGTACTCTATCGTAAGTCACAAAAGAAAGTATCAAATTGTAGAGTTCATAATTTCCTAAAATAAAAGTTCCTAAATAAATAAAATATCCTTCCTTAACAAACCGGCGGTGTAGATATTACAAAATCTAAGGCTCTTGTAGGCGCTGAAGTTGCCTATGCACTGTTCTTAGATTATCTATTTAAAACGTAGTCTACCTATACTTTAATATTATAAATGCCAAAGTAACTCTGTCTGTCTATCTTGCTTTCACGCCTAAACCACTGAACCGATTTTGATGAAAGGCATGGAGATAGTTTGAGTCCCGGGAAAGGACATAGGATTTTGAAACAGGGACGCGCGCGATAAAGTTTTTCTGTGCCATACAAAATTCCACGCGGGCGAAGCCGCGGGTGGAAAGCTAGTACTCTATAAAGATAAGATAAAAAAAACTCATTTATTGTTTTACTTTACATTTTACGTGCCCAACTTCGATGTTTAACATTAACCACTTCATTCATCATTCACTCGCTGATATTTGGCGCGCGATTCGTTCCGGTCACTCACTCGCCGGATCCAATCTCTTGTTCGGTCACTCGCTATAAAGTGTCAGTAATTGCCTCTTAAACTCTGTATTTCATTCAATGAGTTTTTTATTTATTTTGTTTATTGTTGTTTTGAAAATTAAATAGTATCGTCAGTGAAGCGCTAAAAGTGCGTAATTTATTTTTGGTTTGAAAAATCAGGCTAAGGTTTTAAAATATTAAATACCTTTTGAACGCTACCTGCTCCATCCAAAATGGTAGTAATATCGGCCTTTTTAATTGACTATAGTTCTTTCCACGTGAATATTAGCTATTTTCAACATAATCTACACAATCTTAAAACAAAAAGTATTTTTATTAGCTTTTAAAAAGCTCCATTAAACTTGATAGCCATTATTTCTTCTAAGTGGCATTTTATTTATATCATTCAAAATATCACTTTTTAAAACTTATTAAATTACATTAACCTATTGTTTACCCTTAATGACCTTGTATTAAACACATTGTCTCCAATAAAACAGTGTTTTTATCTTACAAACCGAGTGGTCAAAGTAACCTGATACATGCGTAGGCGCATGACACAACCGCAACGTTCTGACACGTTCTGATGCCCGGTGAGCTGGGACATGTCATTATTTGAACGTAAGGTGACAGTTATTTTGTTTAAACATGGCTGAAGGCAGGAACGAGAATGGATTGTTTATTTACTTTTAACGGGCAGGCGATGTTGATTTTGATGATCAATGATTAAGAGTATGATGTTCATTGTTTATTTGTGTTTGAGGTGCAGATGACGGAATAAAGGTAAACATTGTGACTCCTATGTACCTAGTTGCTGCTATGCAAGAAATAACGCGAGTATTCACAAACATTACTATGAGGTCTCACAGCGCGCGTGGACACACAGGGTGACACACGAAGCAATCACAGAGCTCTATTACGCTGTGCGTTCGATTTGCTGCTTCACTTAATCAAGCATCGTTTGAGAATACGGGCGTTAGTTACCTGACCATTTAAGAAGTCAACGCAAGACTCTACCAAAAGCTCCTATAACTACCCACATTTAATAATAGAGTTAGCTTGACATGCCATACTTCCTACACTATCTCACAATAATTACAATACGAATGCAAATGTTGAATGGTTTGCGAAACAACAAGCCGCTTGCATTTCCACGTGTAATATGTCAGTAGGCAATATCCGGTAGGAAATGAAGCCGCACTTTCGCAGTACTATATTGTTTGGTAAACAAATACCTTCGCATTGATGGAAGTCACATGGACAATTGAAAACGTTTATTCATTTCGCAAAAATTGATGATTGTTAACACCAATTTAATGGCTGCTTTTTGCGCAAAAACGTTTTAGAATGTGCCACTGTATTATAGGGGCATTGGCCAGTTTGAAATTAGGTTTTTGTCAGACGTAGAGATGGAAATGTTAAAAATGCCACCACCATAAAAACTAAATAATTTTCCAGAGTCCAGATGCCTCCGTGGCCTTCAATTGAATATGATGATTGTAAGATTAAGGCATATGGGGTGTCCACAGGCTGTAATGTGTTTTCATTTGTTTTCACCGTGGAAATACACGCTCCCACCATCGGTAGACCACTAATTGGCAGATCAGCCTACTCTATATTTTTCAGTCCGCAGTCATCACTTAAGAACTTTACTGCCCTAACTTAAATTTATCAATTCTGCGGGTAACTTTCGTCAGTAACTATTAAATAATCTATGCTTTAGTTCTCCTACTAAAACAAGGGCTTACGCGAAAGACCAGCATGTAAATCCTGAGCCTGTTGCACAAAATAGGACCTGTTGGCACAGTGGCTCAGTACCTACCATTGTTTTTGTTTTTGTTCTTACATTGTTGTTGTTTTATATATTGCTAAGTACTTAGTGCGTCAATAAAGTTTCTATTCTATTCCACTAGTGTTGTGACTTCATCATTTCAGCCACAGGACGTCCACTGCTGAACATAGGCCTCCCCCAATGCTTTCCATGTTGATCGATTGGTAGCGGCCTGCGTCCAGCGCTTCCCTGCTACCTTTACGATGTCGACTTGTTGTGTGTTGAAGTGTTGTGACTTACCGAGTATCAATATGGGCAGGTCGATAAACAGATGCCACCAGAAGCTGTGTCGCGCCTGCATCTCAGGAGGCGCGGCGGGCGCTCTCTGCTCTGGCACTGCCTGGAACAATACGAGAAATTCAAATGAGTGAAAAGAAGGACTTCGTGTTTTAGCGTCATACGGGACTATTCCCACCTCTCGTTCCCACCACTGCAACTCCTGAGTAGCCAGGATCTACAGCTTGACCGCCACAAAAACCCAACCAATGAAGGTCAAGTTTGTCCCGGGTGAAAGTTAAACTGCCATTGGACCCGCAATATTATTGGTAGGTAGTTGCTAATTGCTCATAAGATAGGCCCCCTTAATTGATATTTATTATCCGTGGTGCATATCTTTTCTTAAAGGTTTTAAACTTTTGTTTGTCACCTGTCATCCGCTTTGCAATGGAGGGAAGTCGAACCTTAATTTCGAACTCTTCCTATGTTCTTCTGATTAATTTCATTGCGGGTCCAATGACAGTTTTAGCACAAAATATAACAGAAGGTAAACTCATGTATGTACCTCGCTTTGCATACCTCTCTCGCTCGCACGCTCGGCCGTCGCGCCAGGGTTGTCTTGTCATGTGTTGTGTTTATTTCGTTATGATAGAAAAATGTTACTTAATACTATGCAAGAAAGACAATAACAGATATCCACGTATACTTATTTATATTTAGTACGTTATTATAGTAATAGTTTGCATTATATTTTGTTTGATATATTTTGTGGTTTTAGCGTCATGTTAGAAGTTTTATTTTATAATCTGAAATTCCTGTTTAGCCGACTATTAATGTGTAATAATGGAGGATTATTAAGCATTAAGTGTTCGTGAACGTGAATGTTGAACGACTTGTCGTGCAGGGGAAGGTTGAAGGCACAAGAACGCGCGGCAGGTCGCCCATGCGCTGGACTGACCAGGTCAAAAGCGCACTCAATGGTCCACTCCACGAGCGCACAAGAAAGGCTACAGTTCGGGAGGAATAGCGACGGATTGTGAGGCTTGCCACCGGACCTGGTGTGACGACCACGACCACTCTGGCAAGAGTGTAGCGACGAAGAAGACGAACGTGCATGAGGGCAAATTAAACAAAACAGTGCAACATCGGTTTTCAAGTTCCCTCAAGTTCACGTCTGGCTTCAGTAAACTGCCACATCTTTACTGACACTCAAAGGGTAGGGGGGATCATCTCATTTATCATTATCTGCGAACTCTACTTGATGCCATTTTAATTTATATTCATTAAAAATATCTACCTAGTCAACTAATTGAAATTCTTACTGAAAATTGCACGAGTTTCTTTTACAATAAACACAAAAATTAAAATAATATTTACATACCCAATTGTTTTCAATTGTGCCTGCTTACAGCTTACACGCGTGTCAACGAATACGGATAATTGTAAAGATACAGGATAAAAATAAAAGACGTTGATAAGAAAGACAATGGTTTACGGTGTCGACTAATTATGGGGCCATTCACATTATGAAGAGATTACCCTTAAGCAATATTTTTTTTATGAAACTTCTTTACGTGATTGTGACATGGTTTATTTTACTTTACATATTCTGATAATCTACATGCGTCTAATACTGACTGTTTATTTTTCGTCGGCCGTTTGGTGGTTTCGGAACGAACTACTGTGCCGAGAGGTCCCGGATTCGAATCCCGGCCGGGCAGAAATTAAAATGATGAATTTTAATTTCTGTGTCGGGTCTGGGTGTTACTATCTATACTTATAATAAATCTGTAGAGACGTCAATTCTGTACATGAAATATATTTTCAAAATAACTATCAGGGGGTGATTATAAATCGATACTGATGCCAAAAATGCAATCAGTAAAATTTTTGTCTGTCTGTCTGTCTGTCTGTCTGTCTGTCTGTATGTTCCTTATAGAAACAAAAACTACTCGACGGATTTTAACGAAACTTGGTACAATTATTCTTCATACTCCTGGGCAGGTTATAGGATACTTAGGAATTCCCACGGGAACGGGCATTAGCGGGAAAATCCTTTTGTATGAAAAATCTAAACCGCTTAAGTTAGACGCTTGAAATTTGGCAAGCAGGTACCTTAGTAAACTTAAAGCTTAGTTATAACAGGATATTGCAAAATTCCTACGGGAACGGGAATTAGCGAGAAAAAACATTTGTATGAAAAAATCTAAACCGCGTAAGATAGATGAAGGGGGTAAAATGGGATCCACGCGTACGAAGTCGCGGGCGGCCGCTAGTGTATAATATGTATTTATTTACAAAAAAAAGTATGTTTATATACGTTGTCTAGTACCCATAGTACAAGCTTTGCTTAGTTTGTGACTAGAAGCGTAGTGTAAAATGTCCAAGGATATTTATTTACTCGTATTTCTTTTAAAAATTTAAAGATAAATCAGTTATCTGATAAAAGAGAAAAAGAAACAGTAGAAACTTCAAAATAAGGAAACAGAATAGAATTTTGTAAAGATAATTTTTCATGGCTCTATCAAATAATGTCAATAAAAGCCTTTTTGTAAGAAACAAACAGCTTGGGGCGCAGGTAGTCTTTCTGTGATCAAAATTTACGCAGGCGCTGCAGGTAGTTTAACATACTTATCTAATGAAAGTTTGTTTAACTGTACCCGATTGACGGACGACTTACTATTTACAGACATTACTGCAGGCTTTTATGGATTCCGCTAGGAGTAATGGAAGAAACTTAAGTTTATGTTCAGTATACCTACTTCAACTGTGAGCCGTAAGTTAAAATGGTGATGATGAGCTACCAAATAACTTTAGCTCAAATTAAGCGAACAGCACAATGCGTAATAAAGTCAACGTAACAAGCGTGCAAAATTAAATTGCACTGAGACACCGTAAAGTCATCAAGGTAATTACGTAATCGCAATCATAGACAATAAAGTGTGAACCGCAAATATCCGCAAAATGTGTGACATAGATCAAAGAGAACAGCCAATTTCGTTCCTCTTTGTCATGTATTTTGATTGTCTTTAAAAAAAGCCTGTACTTAGATCTGTGATGTGTCTTAGATCTTTCTACATATTATATTGTCACAGTCTAGAGTGATGGTCTAGTAGGATGACTATCCTACTTCCTACTATCCTACTAATATTATTACTCTTTCACGCAAAAACTACTGAACGGATTTTGTTGAAACTTCACAGTATTATTGTTCATAACCCATATTAACATATGTATATGCTATAATTTATGACGATATGTGACATATTTTTTTAAAAGGTAGTATTAAATAAATGTAGAAAGTTCCTGAAAATACTGACTGTAAAATCAACTGGTTTGAAATGATGTGTCTGTTTTGTAATGTGCTGTGTTAAGGAATTCTAACTACAGTCATACAAATCGTACATTTTAATACACACAATATTTGCGGTCTTACAAATTATACGCAAGTCATGGTCATTTCACGACTTCTGGAAGATCTGTAGGTAAAATTAGTGTCAAAACAATCACTGGTTTTCAATACTTAATTTTTATCTATCATTCATGTTAGACCCTTCTTCCATAGTGCGGGAATATCTGGGGGCACGGCAGTGCCCCCACCAAGTCGAGCAAAAAGCGGCACGGCCGTACCATCCTTTTCTCGAAGCAATTCAGGCCATTTTCGACTGCCTGTAACTTCGTTGTGGATAAAACTAGAAGGCTGAATTTTCATTAGCTATGCAGGCATTGTAAAGACACGGTATATTTAAAATTTCATTCAATTTGAACCAGTAGTTTAAGAATTATAACGGGTCAAAGTTACTTAATTTTGTCACTCACTGACTCACTGACTCACTGACTCACTGACTCACCGATCATCAAAACTCTAAGGCACTTCTAGCAGACCTAGAAGCTTCAAATTTGGAATATAAGTAGTGTTTGGTGTATGAATCAAGGAAAAACTAAAATATTTGGGGGCACGGTAGTGCAACCGCCAAGTCGAGTAAAATTTTTCAATTTCGGTCCAGTTTTCTAGATACATAACTGCTGTCTACAAAATACAAAAAGAAATGATATCCCATCAAAAACAATACTTGTCAAAAAAACCAAGTCTCGCAACTCAGTTGTTCTACGGTAAAAAGTTGTGAGATCCATGTAATACCAAGTCCAGGCCAGGAAATCTTTAACGTTTTACATAAATATATTGACTTGGCCATCGCATGAAAACACGTGTAAATTAAATTATTTAGTGCGATGGCCAAGTCAATATATTTATGTAAAACGTTAAAGATTTCCTGGCCTGGACTTGGTATTACATGGATCTCACAACTTTTTACCGTAGAACAACTGAGTTGCGAGACTTGGTTTTTTTGACAAGTATTGTTTTTGATGGGATAACAATTGAGGGACTGGTGTCAAAACATCATGAGGTGCCGTCATAGTCTTACATACTTATAATATGCCTCATACCAGTAGCGGCGTAAGGGGGCTGTGGGGGCGGTCCGCCCCGGGTGCCAAGCATTAGGGGGTGACACAAGACGCGCAGATTAGTACTCACTGGCACATCTGCATGGCAAAATCTGCGGTCTATGTCATGGTACGGGGGGGGTACGATTGTCTTCCAATCTTCGAATCAGTAGGTAACCTCAAAATCCTGGGGGGAACCAGGGGGTGCCATAGGCCTTATGACGGGGGGGGACGGGGGGGATCGCCCCGGGTGCCAACCCATGCTACGCCGCCACTGCCTCATACTGACCTACGGCTTTCTTCATGTTCCAAACCATTCAATTTTCTAAAAGTAATCAAACTAACAGATATTTTATAGCTACTACTACTGAGAACTAGTCTGTATGCGTATTATTCATAGCTAGGCTAAGCTAGACATTTAATACATTTTAATTCATGTTCGCGCTCGAATCTGGTAAAGCTCACTATACAACTAAAGTGAATGGAGTTTAATTGGTAGGTACACTGCAAATGATTATAAATGATTTACGACAGGAAATATAAGTAGATTTAGACCAGTTATCCGGTGGCCGAAACTGAAAATGGTATTTGCCTATGGAACTGTGTTGAAACTTGAAATCCATGTTTTTTGAAATACAAAGTGATTTTGAAAAAGGGGCGTGTGCGTGATTCTTAAAT